ACATACGTAGTAATAAAAAATAGAATGCAAAAACATGAAAGGTTCGAAAGTTAAAAAAATAAAATTGATAAATTTTTTTTATTTTTAAAATAACCCTATTTTATTAAAAATGCACTGATAAAAGAAGAAATAATCATTTAGAGAATAAAAAAAAACTTAGAAAGTAAAAACAAAGGTTGTAAATGAATGAAACATTTCTTTGTCAAAATGTTGTTTTCATACACTATTTTGCGGTATCTGTCTATATTACTAGCATAAATTTGACTAATTGAACATTGCTTTTTTTTCTTTTCTGTATTACTAAAATAAAAATAATAAGTATTTTTATTAAAAAAAAACTAAGTTATGCTCGACTAACAGACCTAGTTCTGAAGGCACTTTTTAGGGATAAATGTATTTCTTCAACTGAAATAGTTTACAAACTTTCGAATCACCACAACTCAGTTTTTTTTTATAGATATTAATGTAACAATTCTATTTACAGCTTATTCTATTGGTTCCCATTTTGAATCACACCTGAACAATGCACAGCTACATCTGCATTAACCGGAAAAACACTCCAATTCAAAAATTTTATTTATCTACTTGCTGAATACCAGATCTTCACATAAGGTAGAGAATAGAAAAGTAAATAATCAATAAATCGATATTAAACAGCAAGTATATATCGAAACAATTAATAAAGTTAAAAGAATCAAAATTTTTATTTATTATTATTTGTTGCCTTTTCCGATGACTTTACGTTATTAGATTAAGTGAAACACATTTTTTTAAGAAGTTCCATTAAACAGAAAAAAGATTTAACAGTACATAGCTGCTGACATGTTACGTTTGGCATGCTGCTATTGATCACGCAGGCCAATGCATTATAGTCAAAATTTAGCGCAAACAAATTTCTCCATTAATTTAACTCTTATTTTAATTTTTTTATTTTATTTCAATTACCGTTGATTTTAAAATATTTAGTCTCATAGAAATGTAACAAAAGCATAACGATAAACACAATTAACACGATGCATAGTTTTAGATGAAACCTTACGATAAAATGCCATTTAAGTTGCTTCTTGAGTTTACCTGATGAAACAAACCAAAATATATTTCAATATTAAAGATCTTGCGAGAAACGACGTTTTTTAATTATATCTAAAATCATTTTTTTTTTTTTCGATTTTCTTCAAAAAAATTTCTAAATATTTTTTAGAAAATGACTTAATCATGATTATTAAATATTATTTTTATTAATTAATCATGTAAAAATTTATTGGATGTTCTCAAATTTGCCACGTCTTTTTTTTTTGTTGACATTTTATTTTGCTTAACTATAACTTATTTAAACGTCACGATGGTATAAATCACTGAATAAAGTGTGGAGCCATAGTAGCTTATGGGATAGAGCAGTGTCACAATTGTCTTAAGGCTATTTTTTTCCATAAGTTATTAAAGCTTTTTTTTTAATATTTGGTCAAAGAAATTTTAAAATGACTAATATAAAATCTTATGTTATGCTTCTTTCAAGTGTAAATTTTCCGGCTTTGCGATTTTTGAATCTATGTAATTAAGGTGAATAGTTTTGAATAAGGTTTAAAACTTGGATATGGATTAATTTAACTTTTTTCAATGAATCTTTTTATTCTTGTAAAACTTAAAATTTGCTTCAGCCTTGAAATTCCACAGCAGTTAAAAATTTAAAGTAAATTACTAATTTAAGAAACTTATTGTAAAACTTATATATCTTGTATTTAAATGAATTCTGCTCAATGATTTTGTAATATTTTTCTATAGAAGACTAACTAAATAATTTATTGCGGTTCCTGAATAATAAATATAAGTTAGCCCGCTTTTCAACAACAAATTCTCCCTTTCTTTGACTAAAATATGTCAGAAGCCCAGAAGAGAAAATTTTTGTGAATTATTTATCATCAAATTAAATTCCTTACAGTCATAAGAGATAAAACAATTAATCTTTTTGCGGGTAATTAGCACATTTAAGATTTTTTTTTCTCTTCTTATCAGTGATATTTAGAGAAATATTGTGACTGTGTAATTTAATTTCATTATTTTTAAAAATTGTGCTTCTATTGGGCCATGATATTAAAATTGAATCTAAATACGTGAAAATTAATTATTAGATCATGATTTATTCAGGGTGTTCCCTTTTTTTCTTCCGCACTGTACACCATAACATGTGTTACGCATAATATGAAAACTCTATCATCTTACAAGAACTGAAAGGATTGGGCAAATTCTCTGAAGAGAAATTAACATTAGGATTTATTAAAAGTGGAGGGATATAAAATTTTTTTAGTTCAATAGTTCACTTACAAGGGAAACTAGGGAAGTGTGACTCGCCAATTTTGAAATAAACTAGTGGGATGTATGCCTTATGAGGAATAATTTTAGGGGGAAACATTCGTTTCGGCCCATAGAAGTTCCTGTAAGAGATAAAAAATAATTCAATCTATAGAAAAATCAGTATTTTATTACTTCAATGCAGACTATTAGTTATTGTATTTGTCTCATACTCCAATTAATTTTGTGGTACTTTCANTTTTGGAGCGTTCGGTCTTTAATTTCCAAAACTCGATCAATTTTCCTTCACCAACGCGCAATTCCTTGACCGTTGGTTTGTAAGAAGTAATTGCTGTGAAAACTCAAACATTCTACATTCAAACTACTAGTCCCTGCTAACTACTAGTCCCCCCCCCTTCATCTAAGAAACTGATCCATATTTAAGAAATCACAAGAATCCACCTAGGAAAAATTAACTGGATATGTAGAAAGGCAGTAGAAATTTCATTGCCCAGTGCAATAGCATGTATAAAAATTTTTATGTCAAAGATTTGATTTATAACATTTTCCTTCTTTTGTGATTCCAATTTCTTTTGTACTCTTACTGACTTCAGGAAGGTAATTACCCTCCCTAAGTGTAGAAAGACCACCTTAGTTGACAAGATTGTGATTATCTCTTATCTCTGAACTATTTTCATGTCATTTTGCTATTGATTCACTCCCCTAAATATCTAATCAATTTTACATGTTCAATTTAAGGTTCAGGAAAATAAAAATAATAAATATAAAATGAAGAAAAAAAAATCAAATTTTAATCAATTTTCGCGCAAGTCAAGACATATTGAGAAATTCGCCGGTTTTAGGAAAAAAGATGACAATTTCGCGGAAATCATCGCGGAAATTCGAGCCGCGACAAACCTGCAGCCCTGATCATGAGTTATTCAGAGTGTTCCCTTTTTTACCGCACTGTACACCATAACATGTGTTACGCATAATATGGAAACTCTATCATCTTACAAGAACTGAAAGGATTGGGCAAATTCTCTGAAGAGAAATTAACATTAGGATTTGTTAAAAGTGGAGGGATATAAAATTTTTTAGTTCAATAGTTCACTTAGTTACAAGTTCACAAAGTTAATCTTACAGTTATCAAGGGGGTACAGAACACAAATTTTGAAATTACACCTAGCTGTTTTGATCAAGTAAAAGGAAACGAGTCTCGAAAATTAATATACATTTCCTGGCCAAATTATTCGATGCACTATGAGATTCTATGTGAAATCTTAATTATCAGGTGACACTCTTATTGCTTTTTCGCGAATGAAACCGATTTGCACTTGTTTACTTTCGTGTATCCATTGGTTAACATTGTAATGCAATACGTTAAAAATAAACACAAATAGGAAGTACAGTAGGGAACCGATTATCCGGAACGATCGGGACCATCGCTTTTCCGGATAACTGATTTTTCCGGTTTTCTGAATCGCTACAAAAAGCCGTTTTTTTTATTGTTTAACCCAACTAAAAAAATATATATATTTGGAAATAATCTTAAAAAGAAGAAAAAACGATGAAGTAATACAGTAATGATTATTTCTAAAATGATTGTATGGTAAACATCTTTCAAAAAAGAAAGAAAAATCCTAAAATCTTATGAGGAAAAAAAATTTTTTTTTTTTTAAAACGGCTGGAAAATTTATTGAATTTCGTTCCGGTTTTTTGATTTTCCGGTTTTCTGATTTCCGGATAACGGCTTCTGTACCGTATATAAAAAATTTCCTCAATAAAAATCCATTACATGTATCTTTAAATATAAAAGTATTACATATAAATTCGTGCAAAACATGCAATTATTAAAACACTACTGTGCACCTAATAATTTTGTCTAATTATTATAATATATTAATATAATACCTNCCCCTAAAATTATTCCTCATAAGGCATACATCCCACTAGTTTATTTCAAAATTGGCGAGTCAAACTTCCCTAGTTTCCCTTGTTAATTACAAGTTCACAAAGCTAATCTTACAGTTATCAAGAGGGTACAAAATACAAATTTTGAAATTACACCTAGCTGTTAAAAGGAAACTAGTCTCGAAAATTAATATACAGTTCCAGGCCAAATTATTCGATGCACTATGAGATTCTATGTCAAGTCTTAATTATCAGGTGATACTCTACAGCTTTATCGTTTTTAAGCGACTGAAACCGGTTTGCACTTGTTTACCTTCGTGTATCAATTGGTTAACATTGTGATGCAATACGTTAAAAACAAACACAAATAGGAAGTATATAAAATATTTCCTCAATAAAAATCCATCACATGTATCTTTAAATATAAAAATATTGCACATAAACTCGTGCAAAACATGCAATTATTAAAAACACTACAGCGCGTCTAATAATTTTGTCTCATTATTATAATATATTAATATAATACCTGATATAATAATTATTCTATATCGTCTAATTTAACCAATTGTAAGCAAGTACAAACCGGTTTCAGTCGCGTAAAAACAACAATGCTGTACAGTATCACCTTATAATTAAGATTTTTAGTAGAATCTTATAGTGCGTCTGATAATTTGGTCAGCTACTGAAGATAAATTTAACACACTAAGAAGAATTCGGTCAACCATAACATTGTGCTACAACCTCAATAAAAGGTTCAGTTAATGTTGTCGATAGAGAGAACAAAAGGGAGAACTTACGTATATTGGGCGGGAGTAGGTTGTGCGCATCTAGAGGTTGTGAATTTTCTGCCGGTGGTGATGTGGGTGATAGAGGGACGGCATACACGGGTACGCATCGCCAACCTGGCAGATTGAGGTAGGCTGGTTCGAGACAATCCATAGACACTCCAACCATTCATGAATCATTCTATTCAAATGTTTTGGTAGTTACATTTCTTTCCTAAAATGAAAATACCATATATAAGGATGTGCAGCAATAACCGCCCTTAAAGTTTAAATTACTAATGGAGATGAAACAGAATTTATCATGAGAGGTCTCTCAATTCCACTATTCTTAACATCACATGCGTCTCTGAAGTCGCATGAAATTATGCTTTTTTGCGAATAACATGATATTTCCATAACTGATATGAGTTTGTAACAGTTACTCGTGACTATTAGGACTAGTTTAGCCTGTTTTTAGTCAACACCTTTTACATTTATTTTGAAAGTGACGCAAAACTTCAGTATGGAAAAAAGCCATAGTTTTGAGAAAATGAAAAGCGAATGTGGTCTAATTTTTTAATACTTAAAAGCAGTAGTAGTAGTCTTTATTTACGTCGCACTAGAGCTGCACAGTGGGTTATTGGCGACGGTCTGGGAAACATCCCTGAGGATGATCCGAAGACATGCCATCACAATTTTGATCCTCTGCAGACGGAATGGCACCCCCACTTCGGTAGCCCAACGACTTGCACGTGAAGTCGAGCACTTTACGGTAGAACAGTTTACCGAGGACCCATACCGCACACCCTCAGTCCCTACTCAGACCAAGTGGTCACCCACCCGCACACTGACAGCAGCCAGTGATGCTTGACTTCGGTGATCTGCTGGGAACCGTGTCTTAACGATCAGTCCACTGCGGAACTTTAATACTTAAAAACTTATTCCAATGCTGCATTATTTCTTCTTCTCTTCTCATTGGCACGACAGCCCAGGATGAGCCTTGGCCTTCTCAACAAGCCTATGCCAAGACATTCTTCCCTTAGTCAAGGTTCTCCAGTTAATTGTCTTTAAAGCTGCATTATTTAGGATCACAAAATTTGCAAAAAGGTAAGATAAGACATTGATTTTGATAATTTTTATCTAGGTAAAAAAATGTCGCCAAATTGGCGATTTTTAAAAAAAGTTTATTAATTTTTAAAATATTTAAGGTATTAGTCTATTCTAAAGCCCAGATAGTTGTACACTGCAAGATTGCGTACATAGTTTAAAATTATAGTTTTGCTTCAAGTGTAAGGCACTTAAACTGTGTCTTTTTTGTTTTCCTATTCGGAAGAACTTCCAAAAACCATGTTAATGATTCGGGAACAACCTTAAATACTCCAAAATATTTGTTCAAACGATATTTTAAGTTACGAAATCGGACATAAAAATCGTCTTCCGCTAAATACACACATGTTTTTGGTTTTTATCGGCGAATTTGGATTCTTTACCTTCAAAATATGCTTGTAACCTCAATCTGGGAAAAATGGTTCCATTCATTTAGGCGATAGAGTTGTCGAGAGTTGGTACCCTTAATGTTAAATTCACTTTTTTAACACTGAATAATATTAATAAAAAAAAGTCGTATTTTTAATCCTCATTTCTCAATAATTATTTGGCCAATTCCATTCAAATGTAAGATTTTGACATTTAAAATTAAAAACCCGAAGGCTTGCTCCGATCACAGTGCTGGAGTGAAATATCCTCAGTAGTAGACGGATCATGGGTTAGAGTCCCCTTGCCGTCTGGCTAACCGTTGCATGCTCTCGTGGTCGTCCTCACCATGTAACGCAAGTGCGGGTTAGTAACATCAAAAAGTCCTCCGCGAAGGCAAATTTCTCCCAATATTTGATCCAGTAGTTCCCTTGTCTTCTGGATCGGGTTCAACATTACAAGGCTACGGAGTTGAACATTAGTAGTCGTAAACCCAAAAAATTGGGTCGGCTGTTCAACTATATAATAATATAAAATAAATTAATTATAAAATAAATTAAAATAAAAATATACTCAAAATTTTATAAAAGGAATTAAAACGTAAATTTGTTCGGAGCAAAGTTAAATATTTTTAATTCCAATGTAATCCTAAAATTAGATTATTACAGTCCATGTTACAGGAAATCCCGATTTGGGGGGGGGGGCAGGGAGTATTGCAACTCTCTTACGTAAGGAAAGGAAAAGGTTTGTGATTTGCTTACAAGAGGGATGGGGGAGTAGAAAATTGCCCAAAACATGCTTACGTAATATTTAAAAGGCCCCAACAATTCGTGACAGTGGTCAATTGATTATTTCCTTTAAAATTTCATATATTTTTTTTTCATTTAAATGATTTTTACAAGCATTGATTTAATAGCATGCTTATTCAATATTTTTCTGGCATCACAAATATTATAGTATTTATTTAGGTAAAACAAGACAGAAAATAATTAGATATTTAAGGGTTTTCTAAGAATTATTTATTTTTAAAATCGAGAACTTTGGATAACCAACTTAAAAATAAATGCTTACTAAAACAATAAATATTGAAGAAAGTATTGAATATTGAATATAATTGTTAAAAAAAAAAACGGGGTTCTTTTTTAAAAAAAAATTAAACCAGCTTTTTAAGTTTAAACTTGGTTCTAATCATTTTTTTAAAACAATACATGGAATAATGTTTTAAACCCTTAATTGAAATTAACTAAGCCATTCCAAAGTATTTCATAGCATTTAACTACACTAAGTAACTATTAATTAATGTTTTCAATGCCAATGTTTTCAAAAATATCCACTTTTGTTCCGTTAATAACACAATAATAAAAAAAGAACTGAATACTTTAAATATGCTTTTATATTACTTTACAACAATCGAATCAATAAAGATTTTAATATATTTAAGGCAATATATAGTATATATTTTATATTAATAATAATTAAAAAATATTAGAAAACAATAGAAAGATGAAAAGATACAAATATGAAATGAATTGCATACAAAATAGTAAAAGTAATTTTCAGTACTCATGGTTTAATAATAAATAAATTATTAAACTATAAAAAAATAAATTAAACTAATAGCAAATAAATTAATAATAAATAAATTATTTAGTACTCATGGTTTAATAGTAATAAATTATTATTATACATTTTTATTATTAATATTAAATAAATAATTATTTAATAAGTAAATTATAATAATAATATGACAATTATATTATAATAATTATTATATTATATATAATATAATAATTATTATACTATTATTATTAATTATAATTATAAATAAATTATTCAAACATTTAATAAACAATATATTAAGTCATTAACCCTTTTTTTCATTTATTTTAACCGAATAGAGCTTCATAACATCAGAATTTGTAGTTATCCTAAAATTTTTGATTCTCCTGATAAAAAAGTATTTTGTTGTTATTCGTCCTTCATTTTTAGATTTTCCTCCTAACATTTCTGATGCAAATACAAATGCAGTTTTTAAAATAATCTGTTTGAATTATCGAAAGATTTGGATTTTCGATCTAATGTCTTGGTAATTTAACTATTATTTCAACCATAAAATTACTTATGAACACAAATTACTAAGAAGCATATTTGTTACGATGAATGACTGAAATCAAGAGAATGTCAACTTTCACCGGTGAATGTCAACAATCACATAGTCACTTTGGTGAATGTCCGAAATATCTGCACTTGAAAGAATCACGTAAGAAAGATTTCGCACTTGAAAGAATCACATATCTAAAAACTCGAGTGACTACAATTTATCAGCTGCACATTAGCTGATAGAATTAGTCGCCAATTATTTAATAGAATCGAATAATAAGTAATACAAAGGACAATTGTAGTACGACAATTTAAAATAGGTAATAAGCATATTAACGGCATTCGCATATACTACTTATTTTGAAGGAACAATTACTAAAACATTACAATATTTTAAATCGTCCTAATAAGAAGATTTAAAATATTCTTACAAATGAATGAAATTAAAATCATGTCATTTATTTACTTTTCAATATCTAAAGAATCAAGTCAATAAATACAAGCAAACAATCGAGACAATAGTAGATAAATTTAGAGAAGTTAACTTTTGAACATTAGCCCTACATGGAGGCATGCTTATTCATACCTCCATGCAACGATACGGAAATCATTAATGCCCACATTACTAAGGTAAATTATGGAATACTCTTGATTCCGCACTTGAAGGAATTACATAAATCACATCTAAAAACTCGAATGACTACAATGTAGCAGCAGCACATTAGCTGATAGAATAGTCGCAAATTACTTAATAGAATCGAATTATAAGTAATTCAAAGGATTATTGTAATAGGACGATTTAATATATTTTTACAAATGAATGTAATTAAAATAATGTCATTTAATGACTTTTTGATATCTAAATAATCAAATCAATCAACACAAGCAAAAACAATCGAGACATTAGTTGATAAATAAAAGAAGCTAACTTTTGAATATTACCAATACATGGACGCACGCTTATTTCTTTCTCCATGTAACGATACGGTAATCATTAATGCCCACGTTACCTAGGTAAATTATGGAAAACACTTGATTCCGCACTTGAAAGAATCACATCTAAAAACAGTGACTACAATTTAGCAGCAGCACATTACTTGATAGAATTAGTCGCCAATTACGTAATAGAATCGAATAATAAGTAATACAAAGAATAATTGTAATACAAATAATTGGACTATTTAAAATATTCTTACAAATGAATGAAATTAAAATAATGTCATTTATTTACTTTTCAATATCTAAAGAATCAAGTCAATCAAGACATTAGTTTATAAAATGAGAGAAGCAAACTTATGAACATTAACGATACAATGCAAGCATGCTTATTTATACCTCCACGTAACGATATGGAAATCATTAATGCCCACATTACCAAGGTAAATTGTGGAAAACTCTTAATTCCGCACTTGAAAGAATCACATAAATCAAATCTAAGAACTCTAGTGACTACAATTTAGCAACAGCACATTAGTTGAGAGAATTTGTCGCCAATTACTTAATAGGATCGAATAATAAGTAATACGAAGAATAATTGCGATACAAAGAATTGGACGATTTAAAATATTCTTACAAATGAATGAAATTAAAATTATGTCATTTATTAACTTTTCAATATCTAAAGAATCAAGTCAATAAATATAAGCAAACAATCGAAACATT